TTCTGTGAATAAATTCACCTTTTTCTTCTTATTACATAAACGATAGGATTCAGGTTTTTTGGATATTATTAATGTTGGTCATGCAGTCAGCCAGATGGTTGGACTGGATTTGGCATTTTTATCCACCTATTGAGTCCTTCCCAAGGACCTGGGATAGGCAGCTGTTGTTGTTTGATGGTGTTAAAGGTATCATCGTAGGATGAAAGCTGTTCCAAGTAAAGCTGCCTTTTGCAACTGACTGATAATTATGATGTTTATAATAATAATATTTCCTGCCTTTTTATATATATGCAGTATATAACTCAAGGGAGCAAATTTACCTAATACTCCCACCTCCGATTTTCCCCACAACAAGAGCCCTGTGAGGTGGGTGGGCTGAGAGAGTGTGTCTGGCCCAAAGTCACCCAGCTGGCTTTCAGGCCTAAGAGAGGCCTAAAACTCAGTCTCCTGGTTTCTAGGCCAGCAGCTTAACCACTACACTAAAACAAAATCCATTTTCATTTCTGTCCTGGACACACCTGCTACTTTTTGAAGTGTGATCCCTGGTATGTCATCTGAACATAAATGCAGCTATAAGTCCAGAAACATTTTCTACCTCTGCACTATGCATAGTATACAAATATATTTGGTAAAGTGTTGTCAACTTCCAAGGAATCATTCATTCAGGCAAGAAAATCTCCCCAGAACTATATTGCATTACCCATACTTTATACAAGATTTACATGCTTTATACAAGACTAACCCTAACTATTTGTTGGATGAGGACTTCTACTATGGAAACAGTACAACAGTTTTCACTACTGTACATGAATACTTTATGATATATAACAATTTAGTAGAGCATAAACAGAAATGGTCAATTATCAGGTTTAAATATCACACAATATGGCAGGTGCAGAAGTTTTGACACCCTTCCAGTTACTACTTTGTCACGTCTCCTTTGGCAGAAAAAAAAAAAGCCTCCAAAAATCTAAAAATCCTTCTCTTCTTACTTCTGAATTTTTCCCACATCAGTAAAGACATTAAAGCTGAAAAGAGACTGGATATTTCAGCAAGACAATGATCTGAACCATACCTCCAAATCAACCATTAAGACAGACAGACAAAGGTTATGAAATGTCCTTCACAAACCTCAGATTTCAGTATTATTGAAAATCTTGGATAAATCTCAAACATGCAATGCACAGAAATAGACTTAAGAATATTTTTGAGCTAGATGAGTTCTGGAAAGAAAAGTGGGAAAAATCAGAAAAAAATACTGTACTGTAGAAAGAGTCTCAGGTGGCTACAAAAAAACATTGGGAAGCAGTTATTTCTGCCAAAGGAAGTGTTAGAAAGTGCTGAGTGAAAAGTTGTCCAAACTTCTTTATCTGCCATATTTACTATTTTCTTATTTTGGATCTGTAAACAACTTCACATAAATACCAAGCATTTGTTCAAATTTGTAAAAAATATGGAGTCCTTGGGGGTCTCTGAGCTTCTGTTTTCCTGCAAACATTTTGTTACCTGGCTAGGTAACATCTTCAGTGATAAAATGGGATGGGGTTTGCTCTCTATCTAAAATATGTTGTGTTTAATTTTGTACCATTTGACTATGGGGACCTAATTTTGGCATAAAACTCTATACAGTATTAACAATGGGATTTTTCCCTTTTTTTCCCAGAAAAATATTGAATGCTCAAAATGTGTTTAAGCACATATAAATAGCACTAGTTTTCAAAGTTCTTTGTTGTTCTGTTAAATTTTCAGCCAAAACAACTTCCCATACTCTTAAAGACCACTGATTTAATAAAAGGTAACTTTTAGTTTTGCAACTGGCAGCTAACACACAACCTTTACATTCTACTTTTTTGTTTGATCTTTCCTTCAGTTTTATAACTCTACTTCCTGCTTTTTACTAGTGTGAGCATGTGTGTGCGTGCATGAGGGAAAGAGTCTGTCTGTACATGCTCCCAAGTTTTCTCCTTTTCATTTGTTTTTTTTTAAATTCCCAATTCATTTTTTTTAACTCAGTAATTTAAAAAATATATATTTTGTTTCTTCAATAAAAAAAAAAAACTCTTGAGATTTAGAAAAAGAAAGGGTACTATCATTAGGTAAAATAAAATCAAACTTTGGCGAAGACTATGAAGTAAATTCACTGTATCTTCAAGTCAGTTTTTGACTCCTGGTGACTTCCTGGACCAGTCCCTGCTGTTTTCTTGGCAAGATTTCGGAAATAGTTCGCCACTACTTCCTTCCTAGGGCTGAGAGAGAGTTACTGGCCCAAGGTCACACAGCTGGTTTCATGCCTAAAATGGGACTAGAACTCAGTCTCCTGATTTCTAGCTTGATGCCTTAACCACCACAGCAAACTGGTTCTCTGAACTAAATTACCAATTCTGAAATTGAGATCCTAATAGAATATAAGCTTTGACTTCTATCAATTCTGATCAATCTTAAAAATAGAAATGGCCAAAGAACATAAACGCTATTTCTCATTTTAGATACTGATTTAAATCCACCAAACAATTTTGTGAAATGCTTCCTCACTAATTCAAAATTAACATTTTTGATCATCTTTTGTCAGTTTTAATAAAACAGGGCTACCTTCTGCTATTATTACAGGTACAATTCAAAAGGCTATTTTTGAATTTTAACAACATCCTACAATTTGGGACTCTTTGCTCCCATATTAACTAATCTAATTTACTATTAACTCTTAGATTGCTTGTGAGTAATAAAACTGAAAATAAATGCTAATGTAAATATTTTTAGACTAGGTCTGAAATAAATAATTTTGAAGGAAAAATATTAGAAGTTCTCCTTGGAATTGGTCCAAAGTGTATTAGCACTGCTTCATAATAGAACTGTATGGAACAGTTTTAAGGCCATAGTTCTCTAAGAGAAAAGGCAGTTCTACAAAAAGTAAGATAGCTGGGAAGGGGGGAGCTCTGAGTGATAGAGACAGAGGAAGCAAAAATACAAAAAATGCCATCTTAACTTTCATTCAGTTATAAAGCCCATTCAACCTACCACCAACAATTGTTGGGATTCCACATAATCAAATATGCACATGATGCATAGTCACTTCATTAAGGCCCTGACTTGCAGCAGAATATAATGTAAGCATATATGCTTTGCTTTTCTAAATATAGTATAGCCCCTTGTTTTCATGAAGTGAACAAAATGATCAGGAAGATGATGAAAGGACTCCTCATTCTATCTCTCACTCCTATCCCTGAAACTGTTTTAAAGTATTACTTCTGCCAATAATATCACCAATCAGGAACAAGGCCACCCAGCATTAAGATGATTAGTCTGCTTTATCCTCCTTCTAACATTGCTCACAAATATACTTTTATCTACCAGATAAAGGAATGTATTATCAGAAAAATTAAATAAACAAATGAAACTCAAAGCCAATTTAGAATTGCTTAATATTATTCAAGCAGGATCCGCTTTAGTAAAATAAAACCCTTCAAAAATAAGAGTTTTATTTCTGAAAAACAAAATACAACATTAACAAGGATATTATTTTCATTTTTCTCCTTCTTTGATCTACAGTATTTATAATGTATCCTCTTCACACCCACTCCCCCACACAGAGACTTTAGAAAAGTTGTTGTTCCTACTGGACATTTGTATTATTTAGTAACTTAGAAAGAGCTCTGTTGAATCTAAACAGTATTCCAACATTCTAGTCTCACAGTGATTAGTCAGTTGCCTGATATTCCCAACTACACACATTCTGACAAATCTTGGATAAAGTATCAACTTACCATTACAGTGGTGCCTCTAGTTACGAACTTAATCCGTTCCGTGACTCTGGTTGCAACTCGAGTTGGTCTCAAGTTGAGGTAAAGTTTCCCATAAGGTTCAATGTAAATACTGTTAATCCATTCCGCCTTCCGAATTTGGTCGCACCCCGAGGTAAATTTCCCCCATAAGGTTCAATGTAAATACTGTTAATCCATTCCGCCTTCCGAATTTGGTCGCACCCCGAGGTAAATTTCCCCCATAAGGTTCAATGTAAATACTGTTAATCCATTCCGCCTTCCGAATTTGGTCGCACCCCGAGGTAAATTTCCCCCATAAGGTTCAATGTAAATACTGTTAATCCATTCCGCCTTCCGAATTTGGTCGCACCCCGAGGTAAATTTCCCCCATAAGGTTCAATGTAAATACGGCTAAACAGTTCTGAAACATATGCATTTTATTTTTAAACCTCAAAAACCTTCCAAACGCCACAAAACCCTTCCAAACGCCACAAAACACACAAGCCTCACTGAACGTCTCCTTGCTACCGCGATCTCGCCCACAGAAAGCCGCGACCATGTGGCAGCAGGGAAAATGGCCGCGGATCCGGTTCATAAGTAGAGGCGGAATTCGCATGTCGAGGTAAATTTTGGGGGCTGGAGCTGGTCGTATCTTGAAAAATTTGTAAGGAGGGGCGTTCGTAACTAGAGGTACTACTGTATTTAAAAATGGGAAGGATGCCACAGTTTGTTGAACTGAGCTGGTCAGGTTTATGTATAACACTAACCCATATACTATTTTTTCAAACTATAGTGCCTGGGTCCCTACAATACATGTTGACTAGTAACCTTACTACATAATATGTATCACAACCACATTCAGAATTCATTCATACAACCATTCCCAAAAGTACCATAAGTCATTTTTCCTCAATTTTGTGCTGTCCTAATGCATTAATACTATCCCTCCCATCTTGCAGCCATTAATCATGCCAATAAAGCTTAAACTACTATAGGACTAGAATGACATATAAACATAAATACATAGGTAAATAAATGTTGCTACAACATACCTGGAGAACACAGGAGGGTAAAGCAATTGCCATAAGCTGATTGCTATTATATATAATGATCAGTTTAAAAAGGTAAACTAGTTGGTAATTATTGCTATCCTATAATGAACTAAACCAAATCTTCAATTATCTCCTTTAAAATGAGTTCACCCAAGTCATCTTCTAGAGCTACAGAAACATGAGTTCAACATATCATTAATAAGATTAATAAAACAAGCTTCTGCTTGTGGTGCAATGAACATAAGCAACCTGTGGCAGAGAAAAGACCAAAAACTACCTCCATTTGCAATCCCTACGATACTCAAATTGTAGCAGCAAGGAACAGTCCAACCTTCATTTTTCTATCTGATACTGATTCGGTACAAATTCTGCTTTGATTGTGTTAACCATCTTCAGCATACTAATAGACAATTGGTATTTTACTTTGTTTCATTAAAATGTTTTAAAAGTCAGTATAGAAAGTGCACAAAGTCATACACATCGATACATGCTTTAATTTGATTATACTTGAAAGTGACCACATGCAAAAAGAGCCACCTTTCTTTGTTCCTGTCCCATGTAGATTTTGCTACTCTACTGTGACTAGCCATTCACCCACGACAGCCATTTTGTGGCTTCCTCTTTTTTTTAAAGTAGCCTTTCTGTGACTGTCGCCATAGCAATTTATGATGCCTATTCAAAATTACAAATGTGACTGCAGCCGTTATATTTAGTACCATGGTTATTCTCTGCCATCAATGAAGACACCCCTATCCTGCTTGTCTTGTCTTCCCAGTTTATCCTAATCATTCATGCCTCTTCCTTGTTCCTTATTCTGTTGGCCCAGTTCAGTCTTAAATTAACTCACTTCTTAGAACACTGTTATAGACTGCAAACCTGATTAGAAAGGTAATATGTTAAAATAAGAACCAAATGGTTTCTAACATTCTGGATGGAAAAGGAAGCTTAGAAGACTAGGATTAAATTATGCAACAAATATAAGAGAAACACTAGTTCTTGCTCTAATAAGCAATAATTCATCTGACTGAGATCATTACATGTGAATGGAATTATGCATGCAATTCAGATGTTAACACAGGAAGTTAATATTTAGGAAATATTGCCCTCCGGAGTCAAAATACCCTTGCTTTCCAAGCTACTGCTTGGAATTTTACCCCCCAACTTTTTTGAAATAGCAAACTGAATTAAGTAAATGCAACAGGTTCATCATCTTGCCAATCTAAGCAATACATTCATGTACCTACACATTCATACACAAGAACACAATCTACTCGTGAGAAGTACCAATACAATGCTAATAAGTATTAATACTAATAAGTAATATAAGATGAAATAAATGGTTCAAGATTGATTCACAAATCCACCTATCTGATGTTAAGTGGAATGCTAGTTAATGTGGACTACACCCCAGTGGTTGTACTGAGATCTCACACTAAAGTACACTTACGAATGGCAACTTGAGACTAAACTGCATGAAGGCTCCTATGCCTAAGAAACCACTATGTATGAAGCAAATACATATGATATTATAGCCATTTTTACCTCCTCCATCATAAACATTTGTGAAGAGAATTATTACTATGATGTGGCAGAAACTGCCCAATCAGAGAGCTGTTTTATATATACAACTTTCCAAATGAAACAGCTACCAATATATGCCTTTTGTTTCAGCAAGCTTCAATAGCGCAGTGTCATTTTCTGTCACCGCACTGCTACAATCCCTATACTGTACCACTAAATTTTAGGAATGCTTCATATTTTCTTTCTTTCTAGGTATGAAGCAGGTAGGAAATGCACAGATGGCTCTGTAAGCACTACCGTATTATATATACATACATGCAATTCAACATATACTCTTAATAGAAAAAAGGTGATCTAGTCTTTGCTCATTATAATAAATCCAATACATTTCCACAGAGATTCAAAGATGGAACATATGAACCTGCTTTTACATGTTCTTCATCACAGAATTTGAAGAGCTGATATGAAACCTTACCCCATTTCATGGATCCAAACACTAAAAATAAAATATTCAAAATAATTATCAATGGTAGATAGCACAATCAATGAATAAATGTATTCTACTCTCAAAATTACAAAGAACTTGAAAAAATAAAAAATTCAATCCATGGAAACTCCTTTATAAGAAAAACTTCATTTTATTATTCTTGGAGACACAAGCAGGTATCAAATTTAAGTCATCAAAGAAAATATTATTAAGATGAATTCATTATTCTAGCATTTTATACTTAACTTTGGAAGGTACTTTTTATATTTTATTATATCTCAAATATATGAAAATGATGAAAGCCTGCCCATTTTTTGTGACTTCTGAGTTGGCCTGGAGTTGTTATTTCCTCTAATATGGATGCTCAATTATGGTTGCAAAGGAATGCCCACCCTCCTGAGAATAAGCCTTTACTTCCAAGTAAAGATATCTATGATAGCACTGTAAACTGCTTTCTTACCAATCTATGTGCAGCAGATACGGGGAAAGAAGCATATGGGGATAAATTGGCGGGGGGGGGGGAGGCATATAAACAGGGTACAGTAACTCACATTAGCAGTTTCTATCACCTGCCTGATTTTTTTTCCTCTCAGTATCTTCAAGATAGCATTAAAAAAAAATAATGCAGAAAACGAGAAGCTTCTTTATAGGGCAAAAGGAAGAAAAGGTAAAACGGGTGCCAGCAGCTGCCACAATGAGCAGCCTACATAAAAGGCTGATTCAATTAGCTTCATCTCTTATCTAAATATTAACCTTTGCCAGTCATCCCACCACCGCTCCCCTCCCAGCATGCACGTTTTTCTCTTGCTTTTTTTTTTTTTTGGATTTAAAAAAGTACAGCAGACTAAACTGCCCCTGCTCTTTGCCCCACTCCCACAATACTTCCCGATCCTATAGGATACAAAATTCCCACTCGTGCACGCCAACGCGAATACGGTCCAACTGCTACCCTCCTTAGCCGCCTTTCGAAATAGGTCTACTCGGAAGTAAGACGCCCTGAATTGAATAAGGCTTCTTTTCGTGGAAGCGCGCTTCGGCTTCTAGCCTTAGTTCTCCCCCTCCGAAACCCACTTACCCTCGAGAAGAAAGCCCGGCTGTCGGATACCCCCCACACTTCTGCCGCCGCCGAGACCGCCACCACCGGCCATCTTCGCGCGGGCGCTGCTTTCGTTTCACACCATCGCGCCGATCAGTCTTTTTTTCTCGCTCTGGCCCAGGCGCCGTCTCAGAGGTCCAGTTACAGCACACTAGGCCTCTCCCCTCGGCCTGCGCCCGCCACCGCCGCCTCCTTGCCTCCTCCGGCCGACTTCGCAGCGACTGGCTGGAGGCGCGGGTGGGATGGGGGATGGCTGCTCACGGGCCCCTCACCGAGCCGGAGGCCCCTCACCCGGCCAGGCCTACGGAGCGCGAGAGGAGGCGAACGCCCGAGAGGGAAGCGACGCCGGGTTCCTTCTCTTCACCCGCCTCCCTTTATTGTGTTCGGCGACACCAGCAGCCTCTCAGCCGCTCGTGGGAAACAAGAGAGGAAGAAGAGGCCGCCGCAGTCTCGCGGCGGGCCCCGCCTTTCCCCCTCGCCCCCCCCCCCCCCCAGACCGGGGGGCGCGGGGGGGCGGGGGCGCGGCTGGGCCGGTTGGGTTGTGTTCCCCCTTCCCGCCGGGGCTGGGGGTGGCGGGCGGCGAGGGGGCCGAGGCGAGCCCGCCGCGA